TTTTTATGAAAAAAAGCAATTTAATGGCAATGTTTTTGTTCATTAAAAGCTTTTTAACTACTTCTCCAGAATTTCTTTAAAATACAAAATCAGATTTGAAAACTAGGTGAAAGGAAGGTCAAGACTTACAGCTCTTGGAAATACATAAAGACAAAAGATCTAGGACTTTATCTAGCTACATTTATTTTCAAATGGTGTGCAAGCTTTTCCCATTGCAAAAAAAAAAAAAAAAAAGCAAAGCAACAATTTAAAAAAGACTTAAAAACAAAAGCAAAAGCAACATTCTTAAGTCTTAAAAATAATTTCCATCCCAATTACAGTTTTTCATAAACAGTGGGGGGCACGGGAAATAAAGCATTCCTTCTTACTGTTGCTCCTCATCTAACTGTCCCCACATTCCTCATGTCTCTAGGTTCTCTATCTCAGCTTCATAACTCTGACTTCAAGCATCTTCACATCTCTGACACCTCCTTGATCCTAACTTCAGCATGATCAAGATCCACAAGCCTTTAAGCCTGCATATTCCTTTTTCTGCCATCCCACTGACTAACCAGAAAATGGAGGATTTAATGAACAAGGTAAGAGGAAAGCCCAGGCTAAAAGTTTTCATTTCATACTTTCCATACAGACAAGCTCATTTAAACAACGCCTAAAAGCATTCCCTGTCTTCTCAGTGACAGACACACATTCTAGTACACATTCTTACAAAACATACACAATGGACACCAGCTGGCACAACCTCCCCTCACAGAGGAGCATCATGTAGGGCTACACAACGGATGAGGTTCCACAGACTTGCCACTTACTCATGTTACCTGAAAAGAGGGAAAAAGGTAAAAGTACAGCCATTCCCAGTTCTGACTCCAGAAATGCAAAGGGAGGCTGCATATTTCTATCTTTTAGCTCTGTCCTTAAAACTGCAAATTTCAGGCTTTTGCCTGGGACACTGCATACCTCATTGCTGGAAAGATGGGCAGCAGGGTCTATTTATTGTTCCCCTTATTGTTTAGTGTACTAATACCTCTTTCCATCCATTTTTTTTTACCTAGAGAGGTCAGTAAGATTCATTTTCTTATGTTATCTTAAGACCGTAGTAAGAAAATTCTTTAATTCTATGACAACCTCACTCCTAGTCTCATGCAAGTGCTAGGGATGTGCTGTTGTATATATAACTGAGCAGTTCTGGGCCCACAATTCAAGACTCTGAATGAAAGTCTCTCCCCCCAGAGGAGGGCAAGAAAGCTGGTGAAAGGAACATCCTATGAAGAGCAACTAAGGACTTCAGGCTTGTCTAGTTTGGAGAAAAGGAAGCTGAGGGGTGACCTTATTGCTCTCTACAGCTTCCTGAGGAGGGGAAGTGGAGAGGGAGGTGCTGATTTCTTTTCCCTGGTATTGAGTAATAGGATGGTGGTAATGGTTCAAAACTGCACCAGGAGGTGTTTAGAGTGGACATTAAGAAGCATTTCTTTACCAAGAGAGTGGTCACACAATAAAACAGGCTTCCTGGAGAGGTGGCCCATGCCTCAAGCCTGTCAGTGTTGAAGAAGCATTTGAACAATGCCCTTCAAAACACACTTCATTAACTTTTGGTCAGCTCTGAAGTGGCCAGGCAGTTGGACTAGAACATTGTTGTAGGTTCCTTTCAACTGAAATAGTCTAATTGCTTTGCAGCTGTGGAGGCATTAAGTCATCATACACATGCAGTAGGCCTCTAACTTCCCCTATTAGAGGTCCATAGTATTTTGGCCTGCTCTACAATGGACAAATATAACTTAGTCATTTGAAGGGGGTGAGATTTAAAATACTGGGGAAAAGTTTTTAAAATGCTGAATTGTTTCTGATAGCATCTTTTCAGTTATTTTCTAAAGAGTTTGTTCAGGGCCATTTTGATATAAACAGATGTCTTAATGCAAGTCAAAAATCAATTATGCAGGAGAATCGGTATAGTTGACTATGTAAGTATTTATCAAACACACAGAGCAAACCTTAATAGATTTTTTTCATTGATTTATTTAAGGTTTCTATGACTAGCTTAAGTTTACATATCTGTAAATATATACAC